CTGCCGTTCCCCGGCGGAGGCCAGCCGGGGGCGTAGAGCGCTGTGGTGCGGCGGCAGAGGCCGTCGGAGGTGCCCGTCCCGCACGCGAGTCTCGGCCTGGAGGGGGCATGGTCAGTCCGGGACGGCGAGGAAGTTCCGGCGAACCTCTGCGCTCTCTGATCCGCGCTCTCCGCAGCGGCCTCGGAGCCGCTCCCTGGACCCCGCGGGGTCCCGAGCCTGGGGCGCCCAGGGCCTGCTGGCCCCGGGCGCGGGGTTCAGGGTAAGGTCGTGACCGCACGGGGTGTGCGAGTGGCGGGTCACCGCGCCTTTGCTTTAAGGCTGAGTGAGCCGAGCGCCGAGTGGGGCAGAGTTCACCACGTTCTCAAATTCGGCTAGCGTGTATTGGGTGCATTTTGTGTGGTGGGCTCAGGAGGCCGCCCTGGTTAAAGAGCAGTCGTGCAGCCTCTCCAGGGGAAAGGCTCTGGAGATCCGCGGGTCCGAACGTGGAAACGGCAGAGCAAGGCGCGCAAAGTCTCTGAGGCACTGGAGATATTACCTTACCACGCAGGTGAATCAGTGCTTTAACTTGAAACAAGATCCCTTAGCAGCATTGTAAGAAAAAGACGAGTATGGTCTACGCGGTGCTGTAACACGTCTGCACAGTGGTGTAAACATTAAGGGGACACTGTGAGCTGTAACACGTCTGCACAGTGGTGTAAACATTAAGGGGACACTGATTTTTTTTAATGCATCATAAAATTGAGAGAATGAGGTTTCTTTTTTAAGCCTATGTAAAAATACAGTCTTGTTGTAAGCACACATTCTGTGCTCATGCCCAGTGTAGAGGAGGCTGCTGTTTTGTTGTTTGGGACCTTTTTGTTTTTTTAAAGGATTATGTTCAGGTTCAGAGTTTAAGGGAGATTTTAAAAAATGAAGGCAGTGGAGAGCCACTGGAGTGACTCAACGGTTTCCTGGCCAACAGTACAGACACGCAGGGACTCTGGAGTAAGATTGCTGGAAATTTGTTCACTCGAGCAAGATTGGAATAGTTTTAGAGATTGGATAAATGAAATTGGTCAAGTAAATTGGCTGAATGAATGGAAGATGAAGGCAACGTGACTAGGAGAAAGTTACAGAATAGATTCAATTTTTTTCCATTGATAAAAATAACTTTAAGCTGGGCGCCGGTGGCTCACGCCTGTAATCCTAGCTACTCAGGAGTCTGAGATCTGAGGATCGCGGTTCAAAGCCAGCCCGGGCAGGAAAGTCAGTGAAACTCATCTCCAATAAACCACCAGAAAACCGGAAGTGGCGCTGTGGCTCAAGTGGTAGATCTCTAGCCTTGAGCTTAAGAGCTGAGGGACAGCGCTCAGGCCCAGAGTTCAAGCCCCACGACCGATAAAAAGTCCCTTAATCTGTGCTTGGGACTTTTCTTAGGAAGGTATGGCAGAATTTCCATGCTATTTACTTATTTCATCACTTTATGATTTTTATTCCTCCTATGAACAGACTCTCTTCTAAAGTAGTATAGTTTAGTTTGTAATACAAACCCAGTGTGAAAGGCTCATGGATTAACTACTGCTGTATTGTGGCTTCTTCCCTTTAAAGTATTAATTTGAGCAAAACTGGTAAGCTTTGCAAAGCATGTTAAATGTTTAGAAAGCAGATTTGGGGGCTATCAAGTTATATGGTCAATATCGATTCATTTCTGATGCCATTCTGCAAGAACCATTATAGCAATTATTTCGTATGAAGATGGTTTTTATATATCTGTGCAATTTATTCCTATGTCTGTGCGTTAAATCTGATATTGGGCAAACTGTTTTCTCTAATTCTATTTTCTTATAAACATCATGTTCTTCTGCATATATATATATTTATGTCTACCTACCATTCTTCAGCTCTTAATTACACCACTGCTTTTAATTGTGATTCCTCTGCTTAATCCATGCATATACTTACTATTCCAGAAAGTCACTCATTCCTATTCCATTATTTGGTATAGTACCTCTACAGCAGATAGTTATTAAGGAAGTACCAATAGCTATTAATACTGGGGAGATTTCTCTTGAGTTCTAGGAATTAGTTTGAAGGCAGCCCCAGGAATCAGAAGTTGTAGAGAACTGAAATTAGACTTGAATGGTTGAGTAAAGTAAGGTAGCTTTATAAAAGAAAGTTACATTTAATGGGTATTAGAGAATATTTTCTCCAGCTCATACTACTGGTCTGGGAGTATGTCTATTACCTAAAAATGTTCCACACTGCTTATCTTTTTTTTTTTTTTTCTTGCCAATCTTGAGGCTTGAACTCTGGGCCTAGGTGATGTCCCTCAGCTCTTTAGCTCAAGGCTAGTGGTTTTCTGGTGGTTTGTATGGAGATATAAGTCTCATGGACTTTACTCCCCAGGCTGGATTTGAACTTCAATCCTCAGATCTCAGCCTCATGAGTAGCTAGGATTATAGGCATGAGCTGCTGGCCCCTGGTTTGGGCATAACTTTTTAAAATGACACTAACTACAAGAGTTGAATTAAGTTAGATACTACCAAAAACTTTTTAAACATTTAGCTTATTTCTTCAAAATATCTTTTTAGCAAATCTGTTAGGTGACTTTTAATAGATCACTGTGCAAAATGGGGGAAATTCCTTTCCAAGACTAGCATTCATCTTTTTTCTTTTTTTGGGGGGGGTCGGTCCTGGGCCTGAACTCTCGGCCTGGGCACTGTCCCTCAGCTCTTCAGCTCAAAGCTAGTGCTCTACCACTTGAGCCACAGCGCCACTTCCAGCTTTTTTCTTTTTGCTTATGTGGTGCTGAGGAATTGAACCCAGGGCCTCATGCATGCAAGGCAAGCGCTCTACCACTGAGCCACCTTCCCAGCCCCAGTTTGACATTTTTACAAAGGAAGTATTGGGATGTGGTCAAAATGTATGGCTTATAGTTTCTGTACTCAATAATTTGCTACAAAGATCGGAGGAATAAGCATACAATGTGTTACTTTTCAACAGTTAGGTGTATCCAACTATCCTGTAAAACTCTGAATTAGTTTTGTTACTATTTTGACACACTGCAATGTAGCGAACATAAGCATTAGTGAATTTTAAGGAACAACATTTTCCACACTTAGAAAGGGATTGATTACTAACTCTTTTCTTTGTTACTAAGAGTTGTGTTTTTCTTTTCTGTTTCATGATCAGATGCTTGCACATACCACCCAGGTGTTCCAGTCTTTCATGATGCACTGAAGGTAGGAACTCCATTGCATTTTAGTTTATTCTTCCTCCTCATCTTCCACATGTTGGTGTGTTTTAAATGTGGAAATCAAGTCCTTACTTTCCAAATTTGAGTTTTTGCTTTTTTGATGACCATTGAGATTGTATTCTAAGCATGTATTCCACTACACTAAGGGCAAAGAAGTCAGTAGATGGTGATATTTTCTAAAATAATTCTAAAATTATTTTATTTTCATTGCAAATCACTTTCCTAATTATTTCTTCACTTCAGAATTTTGAAAGGAAGTAGAAGCAGTGTTTATTGAAGCCCAGTCTTCCATCTGTTACTGTTGACTACTGTGAATGGTAGTATTAGATGAAATGATTGTTTTAAACATTTCATGATGTGATTTTCAGGGCAGACATGTTAAGTTTTGAGTGTTTTTGCTAAGAGAGCTATTACTAGTTTTTCACCTACATTTGTATTTCCTTAATTTGGGCAGTTGTTGATGGTGATATTTGTAAAACTTATATATGATAATATGATACATTTGCAAAGTTTCCCTTGTATATTTTAAAAGAAAATGCTGTGGTAGCCTGCTATGGATTTAGTCTACTTTTGTTTTCAGAAATTTAAGGATCTTACATGTTTTAGTATTACTACCCTTGTAATTTTCTAATGATACTTTCCAGAAAGTAACTGGCTACTGGACATTTAACTGATAGACATTGAGATCTAAACTAATTTGTACAGTAAATAAGTTTTGTTTTCGCGGTTCTGAATGATGAAAACAGAACAGATCTGATTCTACTTTCTTTTTTTTTTTGGTCGGCTGTGGGGCTTGAACTCTGGGCCTGGGCACTGTTCCTCAGCTCTTCAGCTCAAGGCGAGCAGCTCTACCACTTGAGCTACAGCGCCACTTCCGGTTTTCTGGTGGTTTATTGGAGATAGGAGTCTTAGGGTCTCTCCTGCCTGGGCTGGCTTTGAACCGCGATCCTCAGATCTCAGCCTCCTGAGTAGCTAGGATTACAGGCGTGAGCCACCAGCGCCCGGCTTGATTCTACTTTCATCTGAATGTTGAAACTGGTTCTGTAGGAATGTTTCTATTACCTTGGGGGAAATTCTTCTTTTTGTTTACTTTCCTTTTGGTACTTTTTCTTTTATTCTGTTTTCTTTCCATATCTCCTAACTCTAGGAGATCTGTCTTTAGATTCCTGTTTTCTCTCATTGAATTAGTCTGTGTCCTCAAGTGTCAAGTGAATGCCAAGAATGGATGAATGATTAAGTAAATCCTATGTCCTTGTATGTATCTTCTTGGTAACATAAAATCAGTTACAGGGGTCTGGGAAGGTGGCTCAGTGTTAGAGCGCTTGCCTTGTATGCATGAGGCCCTGGGT